GGAATAGCATGGTCTACAGTCAGGAACTGGCAGAGATGAAGGGACACCTCCATTCAGGAGATAAGCCAGCTCCTCTCTAGTGGGCACATCATACTTTGAGCCACAGGTTTTGCAAAACCAGCTGCTACCAGGAACTTCAGATGAGAAAGAACAGGAACAGACAGACATTAGATCTGACCCAGCAGGGTACTACTGATGTTTTTTTTCATAGAATGTTACTCTTCCAGTAACACAGACTTTGATACCTGCCTTGAATTGAATGAAGGCCTCATACTCCATGGCTCTGATGGAGGGAGGGTGTCTACCTGGTGGATGGGGGACAGGGACAGGGTGTCCTTCTCAGGCCCTACGTAAGGCCAAGCACATCAGCACCACATAGCAGAGCTCTCTGAAAGCAGAGAACACTGGAATCCATTCATAAATAAATCTGCAAAATGCATGGGACACAGACACAAATGTGAGTAGCCAGGAGGGTGGTAGAGACATTTTCCAAACCCCTGCAGGTCAGACTCTCAGCTGTAAATCCTGGCACGTGTGAGCCCTGCTGGTCTGGGCTTGCTGGGGTAGAGATGCACATCTCTCTCTCAGCACCTGCTGCCAAAGGATGTCAGAAACGTGTAACAAGGACAAAACAGCTTCTCCCAAGAGTTTCCAGGTCTGACTCTGTCACCACCCATTTTGCATTGGGGGCTCAGAGAAGCAGAGGCAGAAGAAGTGTCTCACCAAGGTCATGGGTAAGTTCATGACTCAGTCAGATCAGACTGTGCTTCAATTTCAGTGTCTGCGGCCATTTACAAAAAACAGCTCCCAGTTTTTAGGGCATTGAGTCAACCTAGTGAACAGACAGCACATTCTTGGTAGTCTTTCAAGTGTCCTGTTTTAGAGCCCAGTAGATCCCACATCCTCTGAAACACTGTCCACCTTCCAGAGGTGATCAGAGTCATCTTTCCATTAAGAACTGCCCAGAAGCTCATGGGTGGCTGTCAGTCCTCCAGGGGAAAAGCAAAGATGCTTGGAGCAGTAACTTCTGACACCTCAAACTGCACATGAGACTGCTCAGCAAAAGGATAAGTAGCTGGAGGATGACTCTGAACATCAAAATGAAAAGGGGAGAGAATCTCCCAAAGAAAGGGACCAGAGAGGGAAAATGAGCTGATGTTCTTCCCCCCAGACCAGCCTCCCCAAGCTGAACCCCCTGCCCTGGCACTCATTGAGGGGAAGAACCAAGGATGAAGACTGCAGTGGGCAGTGTGACTCCTTCCAGCCTCCAAAAGCTCTCACAGCCCATGAATATTGCTGCTATGCCAAGAACAGGACAAAACCCAGGACACTTCAGCCAGAAAGGATCCCCCAGAACTTCCTGCATTCACCTGGCTGGGGCCAGGGCTCTGCTCAATGCTCTGTGTGCCAGGCAGCAGGGAAACTGACTCACAGCATTGTCTCTTCACCAAACATCCAGGTGAGATGCTTTCTCTCTTGCCTCCTCCTACAGGTGCAAGAGCATCAGGCTGCTGCTTCCCTGAGGCTACTCAGAAAATGCTCTTTGCCTCGTGACTCCCAGAGCAGCTGCCTCAAGTGGCACCTTTGTTTCCTTTGCTCTCCTTTTTGCAGCTTTCCTGCTGCAAAGGCCAGCAGGAAGGGACTCCTCTCTCATAGATCATCAGGGAACAAAGAAATAAATCTTCCTTTAGTACTCTGATTCTGCATTTAGGCCATAAAGAGCCCTCCAAGTGCAGAAAGCATAACCCATGGCTTGGAATTTGGTGCCTCTGAAGAACCCCTATGAGCACTGGGCTGCTCCTGGAGCAGAAGTGGGGAGGCTTCTGCATGAGTATGGACTGGGGGCTGAGATGAGCATGGCTACCATGGAGGAATGAAATGAGAGAGGAGGTGAGGACAAGGGAGGGATGCACAGGCTTGGCATGGGCTGGTTTGGTTTCTCTCACCCTTGTGCACTGCAAGCAGGGGAGCAATGGTGCTCTGGTGCCAGACGGTGATTAGCAGGGTCCAGGGCAGAACTATCAGCACGATAGCCAGGATGTCTCGTCTCTTCGGCATCTCCAAGACTGACTGGACCCACAGCTCCTCATTACCTGACAGTGAAAACCCCAGAGACAGAACAGCAGAGCACATGGAGAACAGAAATAAATGGGCAAGAAGGGACAAGGACAGAGAGAGAGAGAGAGGACGCGAGAGAGGGAGAGAGCAGCGAAGGTGACACGACTCGTAGGTCTTACCAGTGCTCACAACCCACCCATTGCAGAAGCAGGTTTGGAGGGGCCTCGACTGCTGGGACCAGAAGCAGGAGGGCACTTGGATGGGACCCTGCCAGCAGGAACCTCAGGGACTCATTTGGAAGGAAACCTGCAACACAGAGCGAAGGTGAGTTGCCAGAGGGAAGGACCAGGAAGCTGCTTCATGAAGTTCACAAATTCCCTTCAAGAGGAGCAAATCAAAGTAGGGAAATGAGCAACAGAAATGTATCCCAGCCCCCCTGGGTGTCCAGAGCCTTGCTTTCCTTTGCATCTACTTGTCAAGCAAGGCACCTGGTTCAGCCAAGAGAAAGTTGCTCAGTGCTGCAGAGCCTGAACCATCCCCCAACAGAGAAGGACCTTCCATCCAAGAGCCAGCCAAGCCCCACACCACCACCTGCCCCCAGGAAAACACAGGTGACCACAACCTGACACATCAGTGAGTGCTGGGACCCACCAGCCCGTCTCCCTCTGCCAGGCAGAGCACAGGGGGTGACTGTGCCCACGAGGTTGGTAAGAGGGCTCCAGTGACCCTGTGTTTTTCCCATCGTGGTCATTCCCTCAGCTCACACCATCCCACTGGCATCTTTGATGCAGCCAGTTTTTTTAACTCAGGCTTCCAACAGCCTGTTCAGGTTCATCTCTTTCATCTCAGAGGTGTTGGGACTGGAGTATATTAAACTGCCAGGAAGACTTAGTTTGATTCAATATGAGTGCAGGCAAGATTTAAGCAGACTGCATCTTATCCAAGTATCTTGGCAAGCAAAGTACATCACTTAGCAGGGACACACAAGGTGGACAGTTTGCAAACATGGGCAGCAGTTGAGTAGCTGTTCCCATGTGGGGGGAAGGCATCAGCCCTCTGCTCAAAAGGCTGCATTGCAGGCAAGGGAGAGCTGCAGTGCAAGGCAGGAGCTCTCTGCTCTGGGAGCAGCACTGATCTCCCGCTGGTCAGTCCCTGCAAGTGCCTCCCAGACTGTCAGGTCCCCTCCTTTCCTCTGGTCCCGTGACACCCCTCCTGGAGATCTGTGTTCAGTTCTAAAGCCACAACATAAGAAGGACATGGAGCTCCTGGAGAGAGGCCAGAGGAGGCCACAAAGATGGTCCAAGGCCTGGAGCAGCTCTGCTCTGGAGCCAGGCTGGGAGAGCTGGGGTGTTCAGCCTGGAGAAGAGAAGGCTCCAGGGAGACCTTAGAGCACCTTCCAGGGCCTGAAGGGGCTCCAGGAAAGCTGGGGAGGGACTTGGGACAAGGGCAGGGAGGGAGAGGACAAGGGGGAAGGGATGAAAACTGGGAGAGGGAGATTGAGGTGAGAGATGAGGAGGGAATTGTGGAGTGTGAGGGTGGTGAGAGCCTGGCCCAGGTTGCCCAGGGAAGCTGTGGCTGCCCCATCCCTGGCAGTGTTGAAGGGCAGGTTGGATGGGGCTTGGAGCAGCCTGGGCTGGTGGGAGGTGTCCCTGCCCATGCAGGGGATTGGATCTAGATGATCTGAAGGTCCGTTCCAACCCAAACCATTCCATGATCCTGCAGCTCTATGGTTAAACCAGAGGGGAGCTCCTCAAGCCTGGGCTGCAGCCATGATGCTGTTTTGCACGTGTTTTTCCCCAGACCCTTGGAACCTGCTTTTTCTTGGTTGCATTGGGCAGTCATGGAGAGATCCAGGTTCAAATCCCTGATGAGCCCAATTTGGACTGATCTGCACTTCCCTTGGCCATGCCCTGATCACTGGGCTGTCCCATCAGCCTCCGGCACTGAGCCCACTGGAAGACTTGAAGTGAAACAGCTCCAAAAACTGATGGGTTGTCCTTTTACCATGCCAGCAACTGATATTCAGGTTGCTGGACAGAACCTGCTTCTTCCAAATTAGCACTTAAATCACAGAGGTATTAATTTATGAGGGAAAACAAGGGGTAGGGAAAATGCAGGCTGGCTTTTGTCCTTAAAAGGGACATGTAAATGCCCCTCAACAAAAGTTTCAGCTAATCCATTTTTTCCCCACACACATACAAAAACCCCAACAAATCAAAAACTGTTTAGCCAGCTGTAGGAAAAAGCCAGTTCCCCACCCATAGGCCTCTCACCAGGGGGAAACCTGCCACCTCCCATGCAAAAACCTGTGCCAGAGGTCATGGTGCCAACATCCAGGAAGCCAGGGATCCATCCTCATGTGCACCTCCAGCACTTTGTAGAAGACACAATCAGCAGATGTGCTGGCACAAGGCATTTAGGAAATGCAAGGACCCAGCAGGATGGAAGAGGGATGTGGTGGATCAGGACAAGCTGTAGGTGGTGAGAGTGATAACAAGGAGCTGGTCTTCTGAAAAAGCCTCCAGAGAAAACAATGCAAACCTCTCAACCAACCAGGAAATACACCTGACTCTATGGAGAGCAGGGTTTCCTGCAGTCACCCACAGGGAAGCAGCAGGAAAAGAGCTTTCCACAGCTCAGGGATAGGCTCTGTACAGCCAGACACTCTGAAGATTTTCAAGGAAGCATCTCCCAGCAACACAGATTTGTTCCTATTTTATTTCAATACTGGAGAAAACAGCCTCTTCCAGACAAAATAAACCAGGGAGGAAGAGAATGAATTATTCCAGCAAACATCAACCTTCTGCTGTATCCCTGTGCAGCTCTCAGGCCCAAAGAAATCCCACTGGCCTAACACTGACAAAGCACACAGTGCCCTCAGGAAAGAGCATCTGGCCTCATTCTGGCTGTCCCTGCAGTTGCTCTCAGTGCCTGAACAGAGGGCACTGGGTGCTGACATCCTTTGAATCCTCTAATAATGCCAGAACATGTCCCCTCGAGCATCCCTGTAGGGCAGGGACAGAAGGGGCAGCTCTGAAGAGACTGACCACCTTGCCCAGCCAAATGCCTGGGCTGCAAATGCTGCAATGGAAGGATTTGGCCATTGGAGAGGGGCTGGGAGGAAAGGAGATGCTAAAAGGGCCTCTCAGAGTCACTTCCCAGCAGCTGACAAGCTGCCGGGGGGGCTGGTCTGCCCCAAACACCCCGTTGGTCAAGGGCAGTTCCTCTGAATACAGAGCTCTTCCCTGACAGTTGCCTTTTCCCTGCCTCCTGCCAAGCCAGACTCAAATTGTCAGCATCTTCCCCCTGGACAGGCTGACCTTGCCCTTCATATGAGAGAGAATAGGCACCTTAGGGGGCTGGGGGGCTATGCTGGTTTCAGTGCCTTCAACACAGGGGCAAAGATGCAGGCTCTAATGATCTGTGCATTGGTCTCTTCAGGATCAATTCCTTTTAATTTGCTACAGAGCATTTAGCAGCTCCCTGGTCAATCACCTGCTGCTGTGGAGCTCCAGCTGCCAAAGGCCAGCCCAGCCCACTCCTGCCCCAGCAGCAAGAGCAGTCGGCTTTGCTTGGCAGCTCTGCTGGGGCTGGCAGCAGAGCTCCCTGGATGGAACTCCCCACGTGCTCCGCATGCCCAAAGGGACACCACCCCAGGATGGATCCAGCCACAGATGGAGATCACAGAATCACAGAATGCCAGGGGTTGGAAGGGACCTGGAAAGATCCCCCAGCCCAACCCCCCTGCCAGAGCAGGGGCACCCAGAGCACATCACACAGGAACGTGGCCAGGGGGGTTGGAATGTCTCCAGAGATGATGGGCTGGGGGAGAACATGGAGCCACCTACCACCCTCCTGCACCCTGAGCTGCCTGTCAGTACCCACGGTGTGCCACGTACCCTGCTCTGCAGCAAAGACATTTGCTCCCTGTTAATTCCTGAAGCAATTTGATTTGTTAATGACCCTGAGGAGCCCGACTGAAGGACACGGTAAGAATTCACTGGGGGCTGCTGTGAGTTCTGGGAAATTTGGATCTAGACAAAGTGTTTCAAGCAGGTTACCCCTCAAGTGTTCTTGCTTCTCCTGGAGCAAGTCCAGAGGAGGCTACAAAGATGATTCGAAGGCTGGAGCAGCTCTGCTCTGGAGCCAGGCTGGGAGAGTTGGGGTGTTCAGCCTGGAGAAGAGAAGGCTCCAGGGAGACCTTAGAGCACCTTCCAGGGCCTGAAGGGGCTCCAGGAAAGCTGGGGAGGGACTTGGGACAAGGGCAGGGAGGGAGAGGACAAGGGGGAAGGGATGAAAACTGGAAGAGGGAGATTGAGGTGAGAGATGAGGAGGGAATTGTGGAGTGTGAGGGTGGTGAGAGCCTGGCCCAGGTTGCCCAGGGAAGCTGTGGCTGCCCCATCCCTGGCAGTGTTGAAGGGCAGGTTGGATGGGGCTTGGAGCAGCCTGGGCTGGTGGGAGGTGTCCCTGCCCATGCAGGGGGTTGGAACCTGATGATCTTGAAGGTCCCTTCCAACCCAACCCATTCTACAATTCTATCACATTTTCTCCCTGTTAATTCCTGAAGTCATTTGCTTTTACTGATGACCCTGAGGAGCCCGACTGAAGGACACGCTAAGAATTCACTTGGGGCTGCTGTGAGTGCTGGGACATTTGGATCCAGATGAAGTATTTCCACTGTGTTCCCACTCACCAGGCTAATGCAGGTGAGGGCCTGGGTGCAGGCTGAGCCAGCTCTCAGTGTGACAAAGCCACACTCCCACCTCCCCATCACACGTTAAAGCTGCAAAAGGTGAAATCCATTTTCTCCTGTGAACAACATCAGCTTGGAAGTACATGGTCATGGGTGATTTCACACTGCTGGTGAGAGAAGTCACAGCTTCACAGCCCAAGGCAGAGGGTTTGCCTCTCAGCCAAAAAATCCCTTGCTACCCAAGCTCAACAACACTTGTTTTTGTTGCTGTTTATGGCACAAGTGAGGTCAGCCAAAAATTAATCTGGGGAAAATTAGGCTCC